CCCTTTGACATTATAAAAGCTGCTTAATGTCAGTTACCTCCCTTTGACATTATAAAAGCTGCTTTATGTCATGTAACCTTTCTTTGACATTATACAAGCTGCTTAATGTCACTTACCTCCCTTTGACATTATGCAAGCTGCTTTATGTCAGTAATTTTCTTTTAACATTATACAAGCTGCTTAATGTCAGTTACCTCCCTTTGACATAATACAAGATGCTTTTTATGTCAGTTACCTCCCTTTAACATTACACAAACTGCTTTAATGTCAGTAACTACCCTACTTTAAACTTTTAAGGGACTCCACTGATATTTTTTGACATAACCGGACTTACAGTAATTTTTACAAGATAAATGTTCCATTTGATGAAGATCTAGACCAATAACTGTTTTGCAAAATTTCAGATCGTTGCTTAATCCCTTTCTTAGCTCAACAGAGCTAGCTCAGGGTAAGCTTTCAGGATCATTGAATGTCCGTTGTTTGTCCACATTTGTTTGGTAACACTCTAATGGTCTCATTTTTGCCTCAATTATCAACAAATTTGTCGGGATGTTTGTCTAGGTAACTGCTGGGATGAGTTCGAACATGGGTCATCTCGGATGATAAACTAGCTCATAGGAGCTAAAAATAGAAAAATCGTTAACTAGTGGCTACTGTTTTGATCCAAATATCCTGGAAATTGGTCTGAAAGTTTGTTTGATGTTTTCTAGGTCAATTTCAAATATTGGTCACCTAGGGTCAAACAAGGTCAAACCGCCTAAATATGAAAAATACACCTAAACACTCTTAGTGGTCACATTTTTGACTCAATTGTCATCAAAGTTGGTCAATATGCTTGTCTAGGTAATTGCTTGGATGAGTTCAAATATGGGTCATCTCAGATGAAAAACAAGGTCACAGAAGCTAAAAATAGAAAAATCTTGTAAACACTCAAGTGGTTACTGTTTTGATCCAAATATTCTGGAAATTGGTCTGAAAGATTGTTTAAATGATTCCTAGGTGAAGTTCGAATATTGGTCACCAGGGGTCAAAAACTAGGCCACACCTCCCAAATATTGAAAAACCTTGTTAACATTCTTCTTGTTACATTTTTGACTCTAATGTCATCAAACTTTGTCAGGATGCTTGTCTAGGTACTGCTTGGATAAGTTGGAATATGGGTCATCTGATATGAAAAACTCGGTCACAGGAGCTAAAAATAGAAAAATCTTGTTAACACTAGTGGATCCTGTTTTGACCCAGATATCCTGGAAATTGGTCTGAAAGTTTGTTTGATGATTTTTTGGTCAAGTTCGAAAATGGGTCACCTAGGGTCAAGCAATGACAAACTGCCTAATTATGAAAAAACCTTGTTAACACTGACTTGAAATTTAGACCATGAATGTAATTTCTGATGCCAAATTGAATTTTGATATCAATTGACCTACTTCTATATTAATGATATCATTTGACCTAGTTTTACGTTTTTTAAGAACAGACTTGAAATTTGGACTAAGGGTGTAATTTCTGATGCAGAATCAAATATTGATATCATCTGACCTACTTTTGATATTTTTGATACCACTTGACCTACTTTTTTCTTATTCGACATACAGACTTGGAAATTTGGACCATGGGTGTAATTTCTGATGCCAAATTGAATTTTGATATCAGCTGACCTACTTTTGATATTATTGATATCATTTGACCTCCTTTTTTGCTTTTTGACATAAAGACATGGAATTTGGACCAAGGGTGTAATTTTTGATGTCATGTTGAATTTTTATATTATTTGACCTGCTTTTGATATTTTTGAAATCGTTTTAACTACTTTCTTGGGGCTTTTTTTTTACATAAAGATGCGAAATTTGGACTAGGGGTGTAATTTTTGATGCTGAATTGAATTTTGATATCAGCTGACCTACTTCTGATATTTTTAATATCGCTTGAACTAGAATAAAATGATGGGTCAGGTGAGCAATCTAGGGTCATCTTGGCTCTCTTGTTTCATGCAATGACCTGTTTATCTGAACATTACTTTCTTTCTATTTCTTTCACTCAACAATAGGTAAAATATTGACCATAAGGTTAATTATATCAGGGAAAAGACAACAATTCAGTATATGTCTTGTGCATTGTGTATATTGAATACATAGCATATATTATACATCAATCTTAGTAATACTAAAATACTTCCATAATAAATTAATTTTAACAAATAAATGTACATAGAAGAGTAAATAGCTGTATCTGATTAAATATTCTATTAAAATTAAAAAGCAAAAAAAAAAATAATTTTCATAACATTATGGTTGTTTCTTGAAAGAGTTGTGACATAGAATGTCTCAGTAATATAACATGCATGAATGTGGTACATTAACAGAATTTCGTGTTTGAAATTACTTTTTGTCCAATAAGATTGCAGTAATTCAAATGGATCGCAACACATTTTAAAATTAATCAGCTAACCATGATTGAGTCTCGTAAATCAACTGTTTATGAAAAATAATTTTAAACACTATTAGTTAGTGTTTAATAGGAAACATTTTTAAATTAAATTTGTTGAACGGCTGTGCTGTTTTTGACCAATTTAATTTTGTAAATGTTAACAGTTTTTATAAACACTAATCTATACAAAATGTACCAGTATAAAATATTCTACTGCGATTCATAGTAGGTTTGTTGATAATTTCCCACATGCCTCACTCACTTTCAATAGAAATACATGTATACTAGTGAAAATTTCTTTTATTTCATGTATTCTGCAATTATTTAAATCATAATGTAAACAAGAATTTAGAATCCACAGACATCAAATATATAGCTTGTATCACTTATGCAACAACTGTCTAATTCAATCAAATTGATTATGTGGAATCAATATTGCAAATATTTAATAAAATATAAAATACACAAAATATACATACATCTGACGATATAATCACATATTACATTCTCTTCATATGAGTTAAAGAGGAAATTATATACAAGTTCAGCTTTCGTAAAATGGTTGCTTGAGAGAAATAAGAATAAAAACATATTCTCATGCATACAGTTTTTAACATAGAAATCCTGAAGAATCATTAAAGGAGGTCAAAAAGTATAAAAACATAAAATTTGTAATTCCTGCATAGATCAAGTGACTTACTTAAATGGAAAAAATCTGCAAATGATAAACTTGGTGTTAAATATGTTTTTGCACAATTTTTAGTCTAGTGTGAGAGAAAAAGGGGTGAAATACCTTTCATTATGCCCCCACAGGGTGGGAGCATATAGCGTTGCGCTTGTCCATCCGTCCGTACGTCTGTCCGTACGTCCCGAAATCTGGTGAACGCAACTCCTCTTAAACCGGATGGCAGATTTTGCTTAAACTTTCAGGGATGAACAACCTTAATGTGAAGATGGTAGTAAAGGAAGGAATTTTCGCTGCGACCAAATTTAACAGAATTATGGCCTTTTGTTAATTTTTTCACTATATACTATGTAGAAATTTTGTGAACGCAACTCCTCTTAAACCGGATGGCAGATTTTGCTTAAACTTTCAGACAGGGATGAGCAACCTTAATGTGAAGATGGTAGTAAAGGAAGGAATTTTTTCTGCAACCAAATTTAACAGAATTATGGCCCTTTGTTGATTTTTTCACTATATACTATGTAGAAATTTTGTGAACGCAACTCCTCTTAAACCTGATGGCAGATTTTGCTTAAACTTCCAGGGATGAACAACCTTAATGTGCAGATGGCAGTTAAGAAAGGAATTTTTGCTGTGACCAAATTTAACAGATTTATGGCCCTTTATTTTATTTTTTTCACTATATACCATATAGAAATTTTGTGAACGCAACTCCTCTTAAACCGGATGGCAGATTTTGCTTAAACTTCCAGGGATGAACAACCTTTAATGTGTAGATGGTAGTAAAGAAAGGAATTTTTGCTGCGACCAAATTTAATAGAATTATGGCCCTTTGTTGATTTTTTCACTATATACCATATAGAAATTTTGTGAACGCAACTCCTCTTAAACCGGATGGCAGATTTTGCTTTAACTTCCAGAGATGAACAACCTTAATGTGTAGATGGTAGTAAAGGAATGAATTTTTGCTGCGACCAAATTTAACAGAATTATGGCCCTTTGTTAATTTTTTCACTATATACCATATATATGTTGTCAGTAGGGGCATCCGTGTCCTTTGGACACAGTTCTAATTTTTTGGTTATTTTGCACAATAAAAATGTTATTCTGGGGTAACAATGAGGAAATTATCTGAAATTATTTTGCTTACATTTGCTAAAGTTATAAGTAAAGACCAACATCAAATTGTACACGAATCTCAAAAAAGAATTCCAGTATCTTCATGTTGAAAAAAACGTCAGTGCATGCAGTCCCTTTTAAATTAATTAATAAACAAAAATATTTTTTTATCTATCAACATAATAACAAATTAAGTAAACATCATTGTAGCTAAAGAAACAAAACAGGCGGATCCTGATGGGCTGGGAAATGTATTATGTATGTTATTTTCTATGCAAAAAATAAAATGCAAAGACTTAAGACAAAATCTTAAAAGATTATATAAATACATTTCGTATAAATTACTATACAATCAAGCATGGATAATTTGTTCTTAAACTGAATACAATAATTCAACCTTAAAGGCTGATAGTTGATACTTAAACTGGATGATTAACTTTAACATTTGATAGATATATCTAGATATATATGATAGTTGTGTTTTGCTTGACATTGCCAAAATATTTATAAACAGTTTTATTTGACATTGAATTGATTCAATATTGCAAGATAATTTATTCATTATAATACTAGTATGTACAAGCAAAAACAATTAACTACTTTTGTTCTTGTTATTGTTAGTGTAACACAATGTGGCTGCATTGCATTTCTAAAATACAGTCTTGACAGGTTTTTTTCCTTCACATTTTATATTTGTAGATACTGAATCAGAACATTCTTTCAGACAGTTTTTACAGAAGAATTGGTTTGCAGTCATTTATTATACTGATCAGATATCATAAACTTCAATGTTGTTTTTTCCATATCTGCTAACATACAATTTTGACATTTGTTGATTACAACAAACTGAAGCAATTTTCCCTTTTTCACTGTCATCCTTTAAAACCTCTCCCAGCAGCTCACCGTCGGATGTAAACTGTAAAACATTATTGGAGGAACCTCCAGATACCAGCACACTACCTACTTCAGTGACATAACAACAATTTGCCCACTGTAATTTTCTATCAATAAATATTTTAACAACTTTGCCATTGTTGTCCAGTACTACCAGTCCACAGTATGTATCAGTAACATAAATCCTTGCAGCATCTTTACTGACAGCTAGGTTTTGTAAAGAAAAGAGCTCACTTTCGTTTTCAAATAGATCCAATCCGCCTACATGGCCTAAGAATGGTAGCTCCTTCATTTTTAACTGTTTTAGCATCCTTCCGGACAATGTATAGATACATACTTCTGCGGTATTGTCTGATGATACATATAAATTATCGTTGGTGTATGCAAGACCAGAACAAGAAAAATAAGTATTAATCTTGTTTGTTGTGTACATTTGTCCTTCAACAGAAATCAAATGAACTTTTTTCTCACATGGTATAGTTACTGCTACTTGTGTTGTATTGACTGAACACACTTGCCATGGTGCTCCAGGTAGACTATGGTCTGAGACAGTATAGTTGTTACTGTGGAACCGTTTTAGCTTCTTGTTGTTTTCATCAGCTAGAATTATTGTATCATCCTTCAGACAGCATACACTAATGAAATTACTGTCTTCTTTATCAAGCATAGCTGTGATACAATACGATTCTTTCCCTTTGATCTGAAATAAAGTATTAGGAGTCTGAGTAGCTTTTCCTGATAATGTACCGAGGGCTTTATATTGTTTTAGTTGTGTGATAATTGTTTTATCAGGTTGAAACTCTATGTTTTCTCCAGTACTCATGCTTTTGTTATCTTCTATACATTTGTTGGCAACATTTGCTGCATCTTCCCCAACCTTCACATGAACAAACACTTCAGCTTGATTTGTGTTTTGAGATGCTAATTTATCATTAGCAGAGGTAACCCAGGCCAAATTAGCTTGTAGCTTTTTTAGATTATCTTCAATCTTATCTTCAAGGCATTTAACCTTATTTTCTATCTCATATAGAGAATTTTTCTCCAGCTTGTCAAGTTTGTCGTTAATTTGGTGTCTAAATTTTCTAATATCATCCAGTAACTCTGCTTTTCTTTTTAACAGCCTCTGTCTGTCTTGTTTGAAATTTGTAACTTGATCTGCAAGAGTCTTGGATATTTCTTTTAGTTTTGTTTGAATTTCTGTTGAGGATGCTTGATGAGCCTTATTTTGGATATATTCTGGAATGTAGAAAATATCCTGACATGACCTGAAAACAAATTCAGACTGTTCATGCATAAATACATCAGGGAGGAGTGATCATTATATTTTACCCCACGGACAAAGTGGGAATGAGCTTATCTGTCAGTCTTTCTGTTCTGTTTTACAGTTTTGGGATGATTGTAAGCTTAGAGGGACTCGGACCTTGCTTTGGAATGCTTTTGGACCCCGAAGGGCCATGATCATTGTTGATAAAAAAAAGGAAGACCTTCTGTGGAGACCTCACTTGGCCTCCTTATTTAAGGAAAATAAGGCCTCTGGTCAATAACTTGGGTTTAGTCAAACTCAGCATATAGCTAGCTTATTTGGAGACCTTGCTAAAATTTGCTTTTGGTCAAGGTCACTGTTGCTGAAAATATAAAATGAAGTTTGTTCAGATACTATGGTTATGAATGAGATATTGCAATCAAACATTGGATAGCAAATTTAAGTGGAGATCTCACTTGGGATTACTTTTGGATCCTTTCTGGCATAGGTTACTGTCAGTAAAAAAGTTTTTGGTTAAGAATGAAATATTGTAATCAAACTTTGTGTATTATAAGCAAGCTTATGTGGAATCCTCTTTTTGGATTGCTTTTGGTTTCCACATGATTATCTGAATTGTACATTTGTATTTATTTTTGGTACACATAATTATGAAACATCATGAAATACAGATCACATTTAAATTGGGCTTCAGTTCACTTAATCTTTCTCATAATGGCAGGTGGGGTATGAATCATAGCTCTAGTTTTCGTAAAAATAACTTTTTGTTTTGAACTTACAAAACTCTCAGTAGTGTGAATGTTAAAATTTACCTGTGATCAACTGCCACACATGTAGTACAGCCAACTTTATCATGGTTTTGACAGTACATATCAATGTGTTTATGACTGTGTCTGTCACATCTCTCTTCTGGTGCCCTTGGCAGACCTTTTCTGGTTCCTGACTTAACTAGAGATATATCCAAGACCTTGTGACCAGCACACTCAGGCATTTGACTGTGAACTTGGACACATTTTACACAGAAATAATCTTGGCATTCTATACAAAATTTTTCCCCATCTATATTTTTGCCTTCATTTTTACAGATTTTACATGGTATTATTTCATCAGAAAGAATATCCGTATTTATTTGCCCGCCAGTAGCCATCTTCAAGATTAACTTGTTCAAACTATGTTAGTTATATGATCTATACAACGAGAAATGCATTGTCCTTGTTTCATATCACAATTTTAAATATGATAACTGTCACTTGGAGTGTCCAAGTTGTGTTTCCTAAACTTCCTTATATAATAAACATGTTTTTTCTTTTTATGAATAATGATCATTTCTATTTTGTAAGGTATGACGAAAAAGTTCAATCACTATAATTATATAACAAAGAATGTATTGGTTAAATAAAATCTTTACATTCTTCAAATAATTCTATTGTAATCTTGGATTGTATAGAATATTGATTTACTCAAGTTTACAATTAGAGCAAAGTTAGTATAGACACATTGAAAACTAATGTGAAAATATCAATAGTTACAAATAACTGATGAGACATACAAGCATGTTATTAGCTCATCTGTCACAAAGTGACAATCGACTTAGGTGAGCTTTTGTGACCACTTTTCTTCTGGCGTCTGTCAGACATCCGTCCGTAAACTTTTACTTTAAACGACATATCAAAACTTCACAGGAAATTGTTCCTTTGGTGGTCACCTTTTAAAATTGTTCAAAGAATATAATTCCATATAGAACTGGTTGCCATGGGAACTGAAAGAAAAACTAACAAGAGGGCCATGATGGCCCAAAGTCGCTCACCTGTATATAGGCCCCTGGAGCGGGGCCAGTTTAAACCCCCAGGGCTTTTATTTGAACAAACTTGGTTGTATATGTATATGCATGTATATATATATATATATATATATATATATATATATATATATATATATATATATATATATATATATATATATGTATATGTAATTATATATATATATATATATATATACATACATACATACATATATATCATATATATATATATATATACATAATATGTATATATATATCTATATATATATATCTATACATTGTATATACATTTATATATATATATATATATATATATATATATATATATATAAATATTAAATATATATGTATATATATAATATGTATATATCTAAAAAAAAAAGTCAAGCTCATGAATGACCCCCGGGGCGGGGCCAATTTTGACCCCAGGGCTTTTATTTGAACAAACTTGGTAGACACCCATGAGAACATGTTTCATGCTAAATTAAATATCTTAGCTCTAGCTCTTTGAGTTCTTTAAAAGAAGATTTTAAGTTTTTACTATATGCACATAGGGAAAATCAATGACCCCCGGGGGCGGGGCCAATTTTGACCCTAGGGCTTTTATTTGAACAAACTTTGTAGACACTCATTAGAAGATGTTTCATGCTAAATATCTTAGCTCTAGCTCTTTGGGTTCTTTAAAAGAAGATTTTTTAAGTTTTAACTATATGCATATAGGGAAAATCAAAGACACCCTGGGGCGAGCCAATTTTGACCCTAGGGCTTTTATTTGAACAAACTTGGTAGACACTCACTAGAAGATGTTTCATGCTTTATATCTTAACACTAGCTATCTGGGTTTTTTCAAAGAAGATTTTTAAGTTTTTGCTATACACAGTCTTATAAGGAAAATCAATGACCCCCGGGGCGGGGCCAATTTTGACCCTAGGGCTTTGATTTGAACAAACTTTGTAGACACTCACTAGAAGATGTTTCATGCTTAATAGCTAAACTCTAGCTATTTGGGTTTTTTTAAAAAAGATTTTTTAAGTTGTTGCTATACACATATAAGGAAAATCAATGACCCACGGGGCGGAGCCAATTTTGACCCCAGGGCTTTTATTTGAACAAACTTGGTAGACACCCATTAGAACATGTTTCATGCTAAATATCTTAGCTCTAGCTCTTACGGTTCTTTAAAAGAAGATTTTTTAAGTTTTTACTATATGCATATAGGGAAAATCAATGACCCCCTGGGGCGGGGCCAATTTTGACCCTAGGGCTTTGATTTGAACAAACTTGGTAGGCACTCATTAGAAGATGTTTCATGCCAAATATCTAAGCTCTAGCTCTTACGGTTTTTTAGAAGAAGATTTTTTAAGTTTTTCTTATTGGTTGCCATGGCAACCAGAGTTTTTAATGGAATTTAAATTTTTGAACAACTTTGAAAGGGGTCCACCTAAGGATCATTTCTGTAAAGTTTGGTTGCAATTGGCCATGTAGTTTAGAAGGAGATGTTGTTTGAAAAGTTTGACGCCATTTTTTGGAGGACGCACGACGCACGACGGACGCAGAGTGATGACAAAAGCTCACCTTTGAGCACTTCGTGCTCAGGTGAGCTAAAAAATATTCTTTTAAAAAAACCAAAAGAGCTAGAGCTGAGATATTAAAGATGAAACATATGCTTCTAGTGACTGCCTACCAAGTCTGTTCATATTAAAGCCCTGGGGTCAAAATTAGCCTCGACCTGAGGGGTCATTTATTTTCCCAATCTCCTACGCAGTAATCTCCCCTTATCAGTACATCACAAACATTTAAATATCAATATTTTGATATTTTATATTTTTTAACTTTTTAATTCATTTTTCATTCTTTTGTATACTTTTGATAAATTTTTGATAAAATATAATGAACATAGGTACAAAAAGTTAAAAATAAAACAGAAAGAGAAAAATGACGTTAGATTTTCTATGTAACGGTCGATATTTACATTTGAATTTCGACGTTACATCATGTGACTTTCATCATCATGTGAAGTCTGTGAAGGCAGTGATTACAATTCTGCCATGGGAGGCTATCACTGTGAGGAGTTTGTTATTTTCCTATATATATTTATAGTAAGAACTTAAATATCTTCTTTAATAAAAAACCCAAAGAGCTAGAGCTAGTGAGTTTGTTACCAAGTTTGTTTAAAAAAAAATTGCCCCAGCCCCTGGGGGTCATTGATTTTCTTATATATCGTAAATTTTTTTAAAAAAATTCTTCTTTAAAAAAACTCAATGAGCTAGAGCTTAGAACATCTTCTAATGGGTGTCTACCAAGTTTGTTCAATATCAGCCCTTGAATGAAGTAGTAAGTTCATACCCTTACTATAAGAAAAAAGTGCTTAATGAGAATATCAGTTTTCATTATTTCTGTTCTGAAAATAATTGATATGTAATATGCAAGAAAAAAAATCAAACACCGGCTTTGGGTAAAGAAGGGAATATCTAGCTCTCCGGGTAATTAAGCGGAAACTCAGCGGTCTGTACTGGCAGCCTGTGTAAAATTATTATAGTTGTCACTCCAGGGGTCATTGATTTTCCTTATATGTACATACATGTGTATTAAAAACCTAAAAAATCTTCTTTTCAAAAACCTAAAGAGCTAGAGGTAAGATATTTAGCATGAAACATCTTCAAGTGGGTGTCTACAATTTTGTTCAAATAAAAACCATGGGGTCTAAATTGGCCCTGCCCAAGGAGGGTCATTGATTTCCTTCTATGTATATACTAAAAACTTAAACTAGAAATGTGTCCATAGGACACGGGTGCCCCCACACTCCACTGTTTTGTCCCACACAATCTTATGACTCTAGGTCAAATTTTTTTGGGCTACATGTGCCACAAATTGAAAACTAAAAATCTTTTACTTAAAGTAAAGGGCAAGAACTTTACCAATACTCAATAAATCCACAAGCGAATCTCAAGATGCATAAGTACACATGCTGGCCAGCATTCTTGTAAACTTTCGGGCTTACAGGTCAAATACTTTTTGAGCTATGCATGAACAAGTTGAAAATTGCAAATTTATACTAAGTCAAGGGCAATAACTAACAAATCTGGAAAAAATCTACAGTCAAAATCCCAGGTGCATAGCTTCACAGTGATGTTGACCACTATTCCTGTAATATTGGTGGATTCTAACTCAAGTCAAGGGCAGTAACTCTACAAATACTGGATGAATCTACAAGAGAAACCCAAAGTGCACAACTACACATGCTGACTAACATTCCTGTTAAGTTTCAGGACTTTAGGTTGAATTCATTTTGAGCTACGCACAACACAAATTGAAAACTGCAAATTTTCACTAAGTCAAGGGCAACAACACTAACAAACAGAATAAATTCACAAAGGAAACCCCAGGTGCATAACTTCACATGCTGATCAAGTCATCCCTGTTAAGTTTCATGACCCTATGTCAAATACTTTTTGACCTATGTGTGACACAAGTTGAAAATTGCAAATTTTTACTAAGTCAAGGACAATAACTCCATAAATACTAATTATATCCACACAAAAATACCCAGGTGCACAACTACGCATGCTGATCAACATTCCTGTAAAGTTTCATGAACCTAGGTCAGATACGTTTTGACCTACATGCGACACAAGTTTAAAATTGCAAATTTTCACTTAGTCAATGGCAATTATTCTTAACAAAACAGAATTAAAATTCACAAGCGAAACCCAAGCTGCACAACTTCACATGCTGATCAACATTTCTGTAAAGTTTCAGGACTCTAGGTCAAATACTTATTGAGCTACCTGTGACACAAGTTGAAAATGCAAATTTTTACTAGTCAAGGGCAATAACTCTAACAAAACACAATAAATCCACAAGCGAACCTCCAGGTGCACAACTTCACATGCTGATCAACATTTCTGTAAGGTTTCATGACTGTAGCTCAAATACTTTTTGAGCTACGAGCGACACAAAATTAGAATGGACAGACGGATGGACAAGGGTAAAAAATGCCCCCCTAAAGTGGGGGGCACACATTAAAAAAAAAAAAAAAAAAAAAAAGAGCTAGAGCTTAGATCTTTAGCATGAAACATCTTCTAGTGATGGTCTACCAAGTCTGTTCATATAAAGCTCTGAAGTGAAAATTTGTCCAGCCCCAGTGGGTCATTGATTTTCCTAACACACATTTTTTTTGTTGTTTTTCCCTTACCAATAGCAACCAAGTATGTTTTAACACACATGCACTTTTTCAGATACAAATATGAACTTTGTGATATCAGTTTAAGATTTAGATTTTATATCTGCTTTTGTTATAGTTTACAATATTACTTGTTCCTTGTCATAGATATATTTAGATAAAGATTTCAGTGCCATCATGGCCCTCTTGTCCAGAATAGTTATTGGGATAAATCAAAACTTTTATGTTCTTATGCTTTTGGACCTCAAAGATTACCTCCTTATGACAAACAAGGCTTCCCAGCAGATTATAAAACAGTCATCTAGTTTATCCCATCACCTACTTCCCTTTCACATACCAAGAATCTAGTAATAAGTTCAGTACCCAATCAATAACCTCCCTTTGACAAGTGTAGATGATATAGCAGTCAGCTACTTTAGTCTGGTTCCCATTGTACTATAAAACTTAGTACTATTGAACAGAGAGAAAAGGGTAGGTAATCAAGACTATTTCAGCAACTTTTACCCATCATTTACCTCCCTTTGACAAATTATGGGCAGACAACTACAAACTCCTCACAGTGATTACCTCCCTTGGCAGAATTGTAATCACTGCCTACACAGACGTCACATGATGATGAAAGTCACATGACGTAACGTCGAAATTCAACTGTAAATATCGACCGTTACATAGAAAATCTAACGTCATTTTTCTCTTTTTGTTTTATTTTTAACTTTTTGTACCTACGTCTGTTATATTTTATCGAAAAATGATCAAAAGTATAAAAAATAATGAAAAATAAATTAAAAAGCTAAAAAATATAAAATATCAAAATATTGATATTTCAATGTTTGTGATGGCAGAGATCTATGTACTGATAAGGGGAGATCACTGCATAGGAGATTGAATTAGCTACAGTATGAATTACCTCCCTCTGACAAACAAGAATTATGGGAAGACTGTAAAAACATTAGTTAATATATAAGATAAACAAAATAAGAATTTTATAGTTTTATTCATTTACATTAAACAAATTACAAAAGTTTATGGCAATTGTTTCTTAAAATTGGCTGTTTTCAAACTTTGAGCTTGTTGTTTCTGCATTATAATTACACAAAACACACTCTTATCTCATTAAAAAACAACATCCAAAGATCTAAAAAAGTGCACATATTTCACTTACTTATCACAAATACAATTACATTTCTATGTATCATATTTACACACAAGTTTGCTGCGCAATACAGAATATGAATGATAAAATTCAGCTTTGTTAAAGCAGTCTTCAGCTTTTCTAAAGGTTAAATATGTTGTTATAAGATAAACCATTATACATGTACATATAATTATATTATAATATATAATTGTCAAATTAAAAGAACTAAGGTGCAAAATGAAATTTGCCTACAATAAAATATAAACAATAAGGAAACTCCTTTGAGCTTGTAATTTCGGAAATTTCCACTCTCTATAAGTAAATTAAAGGTGAGTGGTCATATTTTCGTACTAGTTTTCATATTTGATCATGAAGAACAAACTTAAGTGAGTTATTTTTCATAATTTAAGCATTAAATCATCGGCAATTGCCTTAGTATTACCAATCACACAGAGGTAAGAGTTGCTAATCGTTATGCAGGTGCAATCTCTAACCGGAAGTGACGTACATATATCCCTATGTAATTGTTGTTAGTTAATGATAACGATATTTTGCTAGGTTTCAAGTAATATGATGTGACTTTACGTACATTTTGTGTATGAACTATATAAAAATTCTTAGATGGTGATCCATTTGTAGTTCAACTGTGGACAATTTGTTTCCCAATCTTCTATTTTTAGCAACTAACATCACTGATGCCCTATAAATAGCTCTCGGAATGCTGTTTTGTAAAAAAAACCTAACAATGATATGATCAACTTTTTTAAGATAAAATTACTGAAATACTTAGTTTGAAACAACACAGAATGGTTTTTCCAACAAAAACAAAAGCTGAAGGTCACTTTAACCACACATACATAAATATGATTTTTCTAACTAGTTTTCTATGGCAAGTAATATATTTTTATAATGACTAAAGCATTTCTATTTTATTCATCTACAAACAGGCATGTGTGTGTGCATGCATGCTTGTGTGTAAATGATAAAATAAGAAATGCTCAAATCTAGTTCTCTGTAAGTAAAAATTCAGCACAATTTTAAACGTATCTGCCCTTGTCACTACATTAAGAAATTGATTTAGTAATACATGTACAATCTTTCAATATAATATTATAATTGAGGTAAGATCTTTGAAAACTCAAGTTTATATGAATGCTCATATTCAAAACTTCTGCTGGCACAAAATGTATTTTGACTTGTCTGCACAGACTGGTTTATGTTTCATTAAGATTTAAAAGGATTGACAGTCTGTTAACATACAGGATATGATGGTATCACAGTTGTCAGGCAACATGTTTATTACATAAAATCATCCGAATCATTTCCGCCATCCTGAAATTAAATCATTTATTTGCATCAAATAGTAATTGTATAAAACAGTTATCAATTTTCAGAGAAATTTGAGAGCACCCTACCAAACTTATGCCTCAGAAATAAGTAAGTTTTTTCTTCTGTAGAAAAGGCAAACATAAATTTTATGTTTAGATAACGGTTTAAGAGAAATGTTAGATGCTTGTTACCTGAAAAAAGTAGTTATAAATGTGAAATAATTTGTCATAAAAGTAGCAAATTCAAACAAAGAAGTATTTTGACTTCCAAACAAAATACTAATACAGTTTTACTGTACTTATTGCCAAAAAGCAACAGATGAAAAAGACGGTTCTGTTAACATTTTGGATACTTATAAAATACACCAAAATTAAAAAGCTTTTAAGAAATAACTAGAAATGTGTCCATAGGACACAGATGCCCCCACACGCCACTGTTATGTCAATCTTATGACTCTAGGTCAAATATTTTTTGGACTACATGTGCCACAAGTTGAAAACTAAAAATAAACAAAGGGCCATAATTCTGTTAAATTTGGTCACAGCAAAAATTCCTTCCTTTACTACCATCTACACATTAAGGTTGTTCATCCCTAGAAGTTTAAGCAAAATCTGCCATCAGGTTTAAGAGGAGTTGCATTCACAAAATTTCTATATGGTATATAGTGAAAAAAACAACAAAGGGCCATAATTCTTTTAAATATGGTCGCACCAAAAATTCCTTCCTTTACTACCATCTACACATTAAGGTTGTTAATCCCTGTAAGTTTAAGCAAAATCTGCCATCCGGTTTAAGAGGAGTTGCGTTCACAAGATTTCTATATAGTATATAGTGAAAAAAATCAACAAAGGGCCATAATTCTGTAAAATTTGGTTGCAGCAAAAATTCCTTCCTTTACTACCATCTACACATTAGGTTGTTCATCCCTGTAAGTTTAAGCAAATCTGCCATCCGGTTTAAGAGGAGTTGCGTTCACAGGATTTCGGGACGTACAGACGGACAGACAGACGGACAAGTGCAACGCTATATGCTCCCACTCAAAGCATTTCTGAGGCATAACAAGCCTTTAAAAAAAGAACTATCAGATCTTCAGAAATTGTACAAGTGATCTCAATCAATGTGATGATTTTTATGTTATTTTAATTTTGTATGCATGATAACTTGGTAACCCACTTTCTACCCCATTGCTAAGTTAGGGCAATTTTTGCGTATTCCAATTTGTCTTACGTACATATGCATGTACTGAGTTATTGCGCCAATATTAGCGTCACGTTTAGCGTGTTGCGCCTTTTTATATGTTATTGTATTGACGTCATTGTTTGAGTTGACTTCCGGTAATCAGAAATAAAACAACATTATTGAAGAACCAGTGCAATCTTGATACATGTAATTTAGTGTTACACAACAGTCTTTCCTAAATTTGGGAATTTTAAGTTCATTGGCTGAATAAACTGACTTAATATATACATGAACACAATTTTAATTATAAAACTAATTTTATTACCTAGAACTAGTATGACATTGGAGGTGTATAGCTGTACAAATTAATTATAAAGCTTAAAGAAAAAGTTTAAAAATATAACAAATACCTTATTAGAGGTCATTCTGTCTTCTGTCATCAAATTTGAGTAGGATCTAAAACGATAAGTAAACTGTGTATGATGAAATCTTTACATTTGAGCCGCCTCATGACAAAACCAACATAATGGGTTTGCGACCAGCATGGATCCAGACCAGCCTGCGCCTCCGCGCAGTCTGATCAGGATCCATGCTGTTCGCTTACAAACCCTATTACAAGTAGAGAAACTGATAGCGAACAGCATGGATCCTGATTACACTGCGCAGAGCCGCAGGCTGGTCTGGATCCATGCTGGTCGCAAACCCATTATGTTGGTTTTGTCATGACGCGGCTCATTTAATTCTGTATATGTAAAATAACCTCAAAGTTTTTTCAACAAATGTTAAGTATGCTTAAATATAACAACACAAATGTTAAGTATGCTTAAATATAACAACACAAATGTTAAGTATGCTTAAATATAACAACACAAATGTTAAGTATGCTTAAATATAACAACACAAATGTTAAGTATGCTTAACTATAACAAAATTCAGATATAAACTTACTTGTGCAGAGAAAAAATCTCTCATATTCATTGAAAATCAAACAAAATTATCAAAGCGGCCATCAGCTTTTCTTCAGATTAATTATGTTATTTCAAGATAAATTGTTTTATACGTATAATTATTAAATTAAAAGAATTAAGGCATAAAATGAAATTGTCATTGATTAAATTACATAAACAATAAGGAAACCCCTTGATACTTCTAATCTACCGGTCCACCCTCTATATGTACATTTATTAGTAAAGCAGACAATTCGTTTTCCCAGTCTTCTATTTTTTTAAACGAAGATCACTGCACAATTTAAACAACTCTGAGGCAGTATTTTGAAGAAGGCTTAACAGTGATATGATGCACTTTCCTAATAATAATATTACTGAAACAGTTAGTTTGAAACAATTCAGAATTGTTTTTCCGACAAAAAATAAAAGCTGAAGGCTGCTTTAACCTATGAAAACACTGGAAAACAGAAGTTCAGTACAACCAGAGGCATCATATCTATCCCTTTAAGGAACCTTTAATGACTTGTGTTAGACTCCAGCTTGCACTTCTGTTGGTTGTCAAACAGAAACAATGTCTTAGGCAATGTCCGACCTATTCACATTAATCTAAGAAAATTAACATGATTTCAAACAATGCACAAAACAATTCTTACCTTTGTTCTCTTTCTTTTTCTTTTCTCTCCATTTCTTCCTTTTCTCGTTTTTTCATGTCTTGTAATTTATGTCTCTGATCTTCACGTTCCTCGCGGTCTCTATCCTCTCGTAACGTTCGGAGATCGGGAAATTTTTCTTCTTTTGTTTTATTTAGTCTATTTACTATTTCATTTATTCTTTTTTCTACTCTAACTTTTCTCACCTGGAAAAGAAAATGTCAATTCATAACATGTCAATTTTTTATCTTACTTAAAGGGCCATTATGTCTCATAAATGCTTATATTTTTATTTCTTGAAAGCTTTTTAATTGTACTTTTATAGTATCCAAAATGTTATTAATTGGCCAATTAACAAAACCATCTTTTTCATCTGTTGCTTTTTGGCAATAAGTACAGTTATAGTGAATTAGTATTTTGTATATGAGTCAAAATACTACTTTGTTTACCTTTTGCTACTTTTATGACAAATTATTACACATTTATGGCTTCTTTTTCAGATAACAAGTATACTGGTGCCTCGTATTTCCGTGGTACCCCTATTTCCAAGGTATCAGGCTTCAACAGTCTAAAATGCCTCCCAGACTTAATGAACCTGCCAGTAGTTTTACTTTTACTATTTTATTGTACTTTTATCGAAATGTTTCATATAGAACTATTTTTTTTATTTTATTCAGATTAAGAGCAAAGTTATTTAATATTTCACCATTTTTCTTTTATATTTCATACCTTTTAAGAAAATCTTCTTTGTTAAACAACCATTGAGGTATTTGATAAATGCCAAAGAGAAAATCACCCCTTTCAGATGAGCCTAGGTATAGGTGTACTAATAAATAAAGTTTACTATTGGTTTTGCTTTTGAAACTGTTAAAATGTAATTGCCTTGGAAATATGAGAACACAAATTTACTCACAAGGCCGCAGATGGGTGTTAATTACAATGTTGTATACATAATTGCTTACATGCAAACATTAAATGGAATAAACTATGATGCAATTGACATGTCTATCCTACAATATTCACTGTGTTTTCCAGAATTTTATCCTCTTAACTTTTGTTGTCTGTGTTAAACAGTTAAGTACCACGGAAATATGAGGCACCAGTATATCTAACATTTCTCTTAAACCATTATTTAAACATAAAATTCATATTTGCCTTTTCTACAGAAGTAAAAATTTATTTATTTCTGAGGCATAATGTGCCTTTAAAAACATAATATTTCAAGATATATGAAAATTATGATGAGGAAAAGGAGAAATTAGATTTAAGTTCAAATTTAAAGGGGAGGTATCAATTGCTATGTATAAAGCATCTATTTAGATTAAAAATGATCAAAGAGAAAATTGCGTTAATGACAAAGAAAAACGTACTTCTTTGTTTTTATGGAAACCCACTTGTCCTACATCCATGCCAGCTGTTTTCTTGAGATTATCCCACATTGTGTATACTACATCTACATTGTTCATCTTGTTACCTGTATTTTATATACATGTACATTATTAGTTATAAATATTTTTGATAGGTTATATGGCCCTATATAAATGGTTGTTTGGAAGTATAACCCCGACTGCTAGGGAATTATAATACAGCAAGCATCCTTTTTAGAGACGAAAGTGAGATTTTTTCATAAAATGACAGCAACCATGTACATATATAACTATGTAAACATCACGACTATCCAATGAAAAGGGATGTTACAATCATGCGATATCATGAAGTCCTATATCACCAATACTTGACAATTGATCTTGGACACTGAGTCTAATGATCATTTGAGCCGCGTCACGACAAAACCAACATAATGGGTTTGCGACCAGCATGGATCCAGACCAGCCTGCGCATCCGCGCAGTCTGATCAGGATCCATGCTGTTCGCTTACAGACCCTATAACAAGTAAAGAAACTGGTAGCAAACAGCATGGATCCTGATCAGACTGCGCGGATGCGCAGGCTGGTCTGGATCCATGCTGGTCGCAAACCCATTATGTTGGTTTTGTCGTGTCGCGGATCATTTGTCTTTCACCAATGATTCAGAAATCATGTAGGATAAGTAGTCGGTAACTTGCAGAGAAATTGTTAACCAGTTAGTTATCCAGAAAAGTCAGTAGATTAATGGACAGCCGAGATATGAACAAAAATGTGATAACATTTGCGTTAAAACCAAATAAACTCTAATTATGCATTACTGGGTGCAAATTTTGAACATCTTTACCATAGGCCTTAAACTTATGAATTTGTCAACTGAATTTACCATGCTTTGAATTTTTATCACTCCATTTGAAGTTTTAGGGATGTCCATATTAAAATACAGTGTACAAAAATTGATCTACAAACAGTATAGCGCCTTGTCAGACTGACAAGAGTTGGTGGTTCTACAAAGGTAAAATAATGCACAGATGGGCTCCAATCTCATTAAAATCATATTCTTACTGTTGATCCACTACCGTTCGGTTCGAAACGAAGAGTTACAGAGCTAAAAGGATGATCTGATTCTAATGAGATTGATATGGGCTCCTGAGGTCTTCCTCCACCAGGAGCGCTAGAAAGTCACATTATGCACTTAAAAGTGTTTAATTATTTATTTCCATGTATATGGTTTGTCCTCTTAGTGCAGTAACGGATTAAGTCCTTCTAAATTGAATAGGATAGGAGTTAACCAGTTATTGCACTAAGTTGATGATATTGCTGATATATCATACCTTGTATACTGTTTGCTTTGACAAGTTGAGCACATTCATCTATCACAATTTGAGGTACATCATCTAAAGATTCACCCTGTAAAACATATAAGCATAGGTGAAAATTTGCAAATCTAGAAAAGAAGATTCCTGAAAATCCTTTATTTAACATTTCTTCAATCTGAGGATAATTTGGGAGTCTGAAAATTCTGAAACTTAAAGGCACATTATGCCTCAGAAAGAAATAAATTTTACTTCTTTTGAAAGGCAAACATGAATTTTATAATATTTAAATAATGGTTTGAGAGAATGTCAGATGTTTGTTGCCTGAAGAAAGTAGCCATAAGTATTTGTCATCAAAGTAGTAAAATGTAAATAAAGTAGTATTTTTACTTCCATACAAAATATCAATTTGCCAATTAGTAACTTTTTTGATACTATAAAAGTACACTACATCAATATTAATGAGCTTTTGAGAAATAAAAATATGTATAAAAGAATTTCTTAAGCATAATGGGTCTCTAAGATTTGTACAGGTATATAATAAATAAAAGTATTTACAATCTACATATCTATTTCTTTTGACAAAAAAGAAAAGAAAGCAACCTTCTGTAAAACAAATTTAATTTAACAGTTTTGCATTAAAAGAAAAGAGAAACCAACTTACAGCATGTAATCTTAGATAAACATGAGCAGATGATACTTTGTCAACATGAAACCTGAAAATTAAAATAAGAATATCTTACATATCAGAGCTTAAAGACTTACAAATCAACTTCCTATGCTGCCAGTATAGAGTGAAACCAGTCTGCGCACCCAGCAGTCTGATGACTAAATTGATATAAATAAGTGAGACTAAAAGAAAAGTGATGGTGCACCATATTCTGGTATATACCCAACAAGGGGATTGAATGATGAACTGCTAAAATTTCGCCTACTCATCTGCCGAAAGGCACTTTAAGACGTCTAATTCATCTCTTCACAATGATTTATATATGATTATGAATGAAAAGAATCAAGCTACATTTTTCTACTTTGTGATCATGATTTCTGCAAGCATCTTGAGGTAATGCTCCAACACTGTAGTAAGTTAAATCCATTGATAACTGCATGTACAATATCAAAAGACATATCCCTGAATGATGATTATGTAGGGATTGATCCCATGAACCCTAGGTTAAGAGGCAGATTCCTTTGATGTAAATTTAAAATGAATTTTACCAAACATCTTCTGGAAATCCCCAACGTATCAAATCTTCATCTGAAAGAAAATAAAAAAAGATTACAAATCTTGTTGGTCAAAATAGGAGTCCTTTATATCATTCAACTTCAAGTTTTTTTTTATTTTAGTCAAGTCAAGTGTCAACAGGTCAAGTGTTTTGTCTTCATCATTTTTTATGCCAATGTATGCCAGAAGATATGGAGTTACCGATATAATTTTTTGTGTGTTTTTAGAAGTTAATAGTCTTAATTATACCTTATACAATGATAACAAAGAAGGTATATGTTTATTGTTTAACTATCAGTTGGAAACAATGTTCATGTTGTTCAAAATTGTTTTGTTTTTTAATATTTAATGTTAAATATTAAAATCTTTAATTGTCTGTAGTAAAATATATTCACATAACTGTACATATAAGACAACTTAAAAATAAAGGCTTTAACTATATTTAAACTTACTTTCATTTTTGTCTAGACCCATATACATTAAATAGGGTGGTGACACAACTGCAATGGAAATAATTCTTCATTTCAAATTTATTAAAAACAAATAATTTAATCATTTTATTGACTTCTGCGAAGACTTTCAAATGGAGAAGACCCATGAAACCATACTAGCATATCAGATTATAAAATCAGTCGGTCTTGCAGTTGAAATATTGAGACTTGAAACCATACCAGAGTAACAAACAAACCAGGAGTATATATATAACCTTGCCAAGACTACTTGACACCTGTTTGAGTAAATAAAAGCAGAGGGAATTAGCTAAGATTTTTGAGAATTGTGCCACAGATAACATTATTGAAAACCAGATAATAAATCACTCTAAATGTGCAGTGTAAAAAATTAAGTTATCAGTCATGATTTTTCCAAAGAAAAATTGTCGATTGGAATAAATTGAGTGATAGTGTTGCGAAAGCTAAGACAGTAGAGTAGATGGTTTCAAATCAGCTGTGTTCCATTTGGATTGAGTCCTCTCTCCTGATCTGCCCGTCCGGAGTAACAATGCTCAATTATGCTGAAGGAGGTGTGGCTAGCCTACATTGTATATACGAAAGTCGAAAATGCATATATATGTTATTTTGAGTCTTTAATCAAGTCTTTTACCAAGAAACCGAAGAGGCCCTGCAAGGTACCATCCAGATAACAGTTAAAGGTTTACTTCTGAAATACACATAGGTGTCTAATCCAGGAGATTGCCTTTGCTTCTGAGCAAGCGCTGCCAAACATACATAACAATATTTTAAAATTTGCATTATTTCCTTATCCAAAAGTTAGTTTAGCGCGGAGGAAGGTAGTCTAGTACTGGTGTAACTCTCCAGGAACGATGGTTAGGAAACTACCCGCCTATATGACTGAAATACTGTTGAAAAAGGCGTAAAATGAAACAAACAAACAAACAAACAAACATTATCCAAAAGTGATGCATCCGAAATCCTGAACAGAGGCATTCAGATAGTAAACGAATTACATTCATTGTAAGTAAAGGTTCGTCAGCATTATATATTTAAGTTATCTAAATCTTACTTACTGTTACAAGTGAAAAAGAAAACCATTGTAAAATTTAGTCAATATTCGGAAAAATATTGCGCAATGTGTTGTTCTTTTCCTATCCTTCAGACGCTTAAATTTTCAATTGCATGGCACAATAAAACGTTTAGGCGACTAAGAATTCAAGGGAGCTAACTCGGGTATCAGGTGCTCGAAGGGAGGTGATTATTGCGTCCTTGGCGACGTTTACAAATGGCTGAAATGAAGAGTGCAGTTGAGGATTTAAAAGATGAGCGAGTTCCACAGTGTTTGTACTGGAATGTGGAACAAGTAGCCGACTGGATAGAAGATATAGGTTTTCCTGACTACAGAGTAAGATTTTATCATTAAAAAGAGTCATAAATTCAACTAAGAATGAAATATTTTTATCAAATAATAATTGAGCCTGCAAAGATAATTGATTATTGAGGCTTTAAGACAAATGCATTCACTGTTAAGAAATATTTTAATAACATACGTTTTTTCCCATTAATGTCAGACCCCTCTTTTGGGAACAAGACATGCACTTAAAATCATGCCATTTGATTGCTTCTTGAGGGTGCCCATATTATAAACTACAAAATTGTGGTCTATCAGGATTTTAAAAAAAAGGACAAAGAGAATCTTGTCACAGATGTCACGGTATAAAATTGTTCTCTTATAATTTGTGGAGAATATGTAAATAGCCATGTATGACACAGTTGGCATAGTTTTCTGTGGTCCTGGTAAGATTTCACATTTATCTCACTCTCATGCATGTGATATTTAGTGTGTTTGGTGCAGACTTATAGACATGGAATTTATTTACATGTAGCTACTTGCTGACACTAAAGTTAAAGTGAGGGTTTTCGGAATGACAGCTGTTAAATTGAAGGCATCATGCCTTCTGGTTCTGGTAAACTGCTTGACAGCTACATGTAGCCCTAGCGCAGGATTGGTTAGGTGGTTTAAATGTGCTCTGGTGAAGTTACATGTAGTGTGGCTCACTGATGTGATCCTGAGGGTAAACTACATGTACAAACATACACCCCATATTTGATTTCCGATATGATAATACAATTTTTTGTCCATGACAGTCCTATTGTCTGGGTTTCTGAACCTATTATGCCATTAATCACACTGGTCAGTGTGGGTTATGGAAGTTGAAAGAAAATCTTAGTCTGGTACTAAGTAACCTCTGGTTTACGAGTGCCATCCTCTTTACCACTTCAGCTACATATTTTTAACACATTACTGATGCAATTATTGTAATAATTGTAATAATTATATGATAATCTATGCATAATATCAGTGTTATGGTTTCTTTTTCAGCTATGTATTACAGAGAACATGATCAATGGTAGAAAGCTGATTCATTTAGAAGCCTCACATCTGCCCAACATTGGAATAACAGACTTTGAACATATCAAGGTATAAACCGGTTTTCAATCTGAAATCAAGTTTAGTTTTTCTTTTATAGGGCATATTAGTAACACCTGCACAATACATATATATATATCATAATGATTTTACAGCTTAACTGTTTTAAGAGGAATTTTAGCCCATGTGCACTTAAGTTTACTTTAAGTTCATATGGTAATACCTGCATAGCCTCATAGGCGTGCATGGCCTAGTGGTTATGGTCTTTGCCTTCAAACCATTTGCCCCTCAACACTGACTGGGTTTGAATCTCTCTCTCAAGGGACTATGGATACTTTTATGTGAAGAAGCTTAGAATCCAGGTGATGGTTCTAATCAAGTGTCCATTCCTGCCTGAAATAATGCATAGAGGAACACCTGAGGTCTTTCTCCACCTGTAAAGTTGGAAAGTTGCCATATGACCACATCAATATAACTGTTAACTAATAATTCAAAAATGTAATTAAAGAAGTGATAGCTAGTTTAGCTAATATGGCCATGAAGAGAAATTAAACTAAAGCATTTAACAATTGTGGAAAATGCAAATGAAGGTTAAAATTTGTTTTAATATGTAATCATAAGTAGCATAAAATTTGTTTTTAGCTCAACCATTCGATGAATAGGCAGAGCTAATATATGGTACTCATCTCGGCATTGGCGCCATCATACTTTGGTTGAGTTTTGCATGCAAGTTGATAATCTCCAAAAATACTGGAGGGAATAGGTTGAATTTAAATTACACATTTGTTTTTTGAGATTATTTATGGGCACAGGTGTCATAACTCTGAGTAACCTTTTTACAGAGTTATGCTCCTTTTCCCTATTGCCAAGCACTGAGAATAGTCAAGCTATTTACGGACAGCTCTTGTTAATGATAATGTTTGTTTGTTACAGATAATTGCAAAAAGTGTACGAGACTTATTAACTTTAGAGGAACCCAACTGGAACCGAAGCATTTCACTGCCTCCTAGAAGTGATATTGGTATGTATAAAGAACAGAGTGGTACTTATTATATGATCATTTTTTGTCATCTGTTACATCTTGATACCTAGTTGAAATAAGCACTAGTCCAATAGCAAAAGAATAAATTTTCTCTAAAGCAAGTAGAATTTCCCTTATCCAGCTAGCTTACAGAAAGTTGGTGGTTCTACTTGGGTGCCAGTTTATGCCTGAAATAACACACAGAGGGGCTTCCTCCACCAGTAAAGCTGGAAAGTTGCCATATGACCTATACTGTGATGTGACAAAAAACCCTTAAAAAACTAAAAAAGAAGATATTTTTAGGTTAATATTGAAAATTGCTTAGTAACATTTTAGCCAAACATGCTTTTAAATTTCAATGACTGGGTTTGAAGTCGAAGTGCTGTTAGTATAGTTTTGAACTCCATGTCCATTTTTTAATATTTCAGAGAATTTGAATTAATTTTTAACACTTGAGATATTAACTCTTTTTTTATGCAAGCAGTGTGCAGTATGGCCAGCCTCCTTCCTGCCAATATTTTTATCTTAAAATCCCTCAAACAAATAATGGACTCTTCTCAAGTCAAAATCAATCTTGATCAGATAATGCTGCTTACAAGTCAGTGGATGAAAGACTTTAGTAACAATGTTATATTTTCAGGAATGTATTTAGAAAAGAAAGCAGGCACTGGAAAAGAAATGGATTCTGTGACCTATGAGAAATATTTACTTGACTTTACAGATCCAAAATGGAAACCGCCATTAGCAAATCACTGCCTTATTCTTCCAAGTACATAAGAAATAGTCATGTATGCAAATAAAAAGTAAAAGAAGACGAATGTCACTACAAGCATGTTCAAATTTCACCTTCATTCGTCACCAATCAAATATTTACTATTTTTGAGTGGAAAAATAACTATAAATGTGCTAATAAAGAGTCTCATATGACATTGAAACAAACATTAACTTTAAACATTGGATATACAGTAAAACCTGTGCAGAACAACCATATAAAGAGCAAAAACCTCTTTACTACAACAGCATCGATTCTTCCCAAAGAAGACTTCACAATACATGCAATCTGTCTAGAGCAATATGTCTCAGCAACAACCTAAATTTTTGGCATCAGAAGGGTGTTTCATTGTAGAGGTTTTACTGTACCATAATAGTTAATTGATATCGGGAAAAAACTGAAACTGTTATTTCTGGAACTTTAACTGAAACAACCCTTATAAAGACAAGGCAGTATTTTTTTTTTAAGTTTACCAATTATTTATTATAATTATTATTATAATGAGACCTGTTCATTCTTATTTTTCAGATTGTTTTAATTGTTTAAACCAATACCATTAACTATTTGTGTGCCAAAACTATATTAAAAGAAAAGTGATTGTTATATATTTTGACAAAACTTTGTTCATCAATTAAAGGGACTCCACTGAAGTTGTTTTGACATGACAGGGCTGGAAATATTTTTTTGAAGATTTTCATTCTCTGCAGGTCTATACCAATAAAGTGTGCAAAATTTCAGATCATTTGCTCACTTTGTTTTTTTCCAGTATATAATCATTTTATTGTGCAAAATGACCTAAAAATGAAAACCATCATATAAAGGCTTTTAATAAACTTACATCAGAAAAAGAATTGCTCTAGACATATTGATTTGAATCAAAATTCTGGGTATATTTCTTTATTGTCATTTTCCTATATTTCCATTTTAAGTGGCCTGGCAGTTGATCAGTGTAAGATATTTCTAAAATTTTTTTAACTTTTACACCTCAGTGGAGCTTCTTAAACAGAGACCTAAGATGTTTTAGATTAAAACTAAATGAATGTTATTTTAATAGAAGACACATGTACCTTTGACTATATAACCTATATTCACATAAAACCTGTATATTGTAACTGTGCCGTATTTCAAACCTTCTGTCTCATTTTGTGTTATAAAGCTACAAATTAATATGTATACAAATGTATTTCTTTGCACTATAATTTTTCTAACACCTTTTATATATTTGGCATTTGTACTTGTTTTATATATTTAGCTACATGTATGTTACTAAAGTGCACTGCTCTTTTGCAAGTTTCTGTACATTAGATTAAGAAATATTATAACCCTTAACAATTGGTGCAACCAAAAGTGATCAGCCTTTGCCACCAGTTTATTGGCAGGCCAGCCTGAACCAGGCTCTATACTGTTGGTAGCTTAATTTTTGTATTTTGATAGTGAACTTCCCTTAAGCTTTGAATGGACTGTTTCAAATTCAAAGCTGAGCAAGTCCATTGCAAAATTTTAGCAGGTTATGGGTTAGAGGAAAGAGGAAATATATATTTTTTATAACGTATGTGCAGTTTATTTGTATTCGGACTTGGAATAAGAATAAACTGGTGGGCTTCATTGGTAATTGTTCTGGAATGGGTCATTTGCTTTATTGCCATGGCAACTTTTATTGAAATTTAATTTAAATTTCATAAGAAATTTGAAATTCTGACTTAACATGTTTTTGTTCATAAGTTTAAAGGTGCATGACATGTTTTATTGAGTTTTTATGGATTTAAGGGTGTCATAGTTTGACTTGTCAGGCATTTATCTTATTTTCATTGAAGATGTAACATTTTGTTGAATTATTTACCTTATTTTGTACTCAATAGGAGAGATTTACCACCACGTCACTGATAACTGCTGTGTGGACTACGTATACACACAATCTTAGAAGGTCGTACAAACAACATGTAAACAATGATGGCATTTTCTGTAAAGTTAACATAAGATGATGTTCCTGGGTCAAAGTTTTAAAGATCAGAATTATCTGAACATATATTTTTTGTAATATTCAAAATGAAGAAAAAAAATACAAAACTATTTTCTAAATAGTATTGATATATTTTATATATAAGATAAGTGTGATGTTATAAAGGGTTTAATTTTTGCTAAACATCTACATGTACTTTAATTTTTATGTCTGTATCAATCTTGAAACAACTCGCTACATGTGTTCTATGATTTATCATTTTTATGTGAAATATGCCTGCTAATTGCTCAGTTTTGTTTCATTTTCATTTTCCCTTTTTTCACCCTGTCAATGTAAATATGGTTTATGATTCAAGGGTATTATATTTCAGCCATTGTTAAATGTATGCTTTTAAAAGACCCAAAACTGAGTGTTGTTAACATAAATATAATTTAAAACTTTATGCTTAGTACATGTTCAGTTTTAAGTATTTAGCAAGTCAAAGTGACATTATGCTCATATTTTCATAGTCAATTTGAGCTGAATTGACTTTGTATTTCAAAAGATTGACTGTTAAAATGGTGTTTGACCAACAGGTGATATTTGAAAATGTTTGGGATAAATTTAATTTATTTAAAAAGTTGACAAAATCCCCAGTTAAACATGTTTACAGCAGCCAATATAAAAAAGAAAAGGCAACATAATTACTCAAAATAGTCATGTGTCACATCTGTGGTTGGAAAAAAAATCTGGGATCAGGTAGATATGATAATGACCTCCGTGAATTTATTTCAAAATACTGGTACACCTCTAAAACTTTATCATACTTATAAGCTAGGCATTATATATTTGATGTAGTTAATTGATTATAACTTTTTTAAGGCCACATATTATAACAAATATCTAAACAATGTCTTTATAATTGTTCGAATATTTCTTTTGCCTACAGTTTTTATAATTGTTTGAAGATTTCTTTTCCCTACAGTTTTATTTATTTTCAATAAAAAATAAATAAATAGGAAATATGAGATAAGAAAGATTGTTTTGTTTATATAATTTTGTAGTCAGTACCTTTAAAAGTACAATAGAATTGCATCGTTTCTTACAATAATTAAACATATTTTCCCAGTCACTTAATGCTTTACTTTAATTATTTTCAATCACCTGTTTTATTCGCGATGAATAAAGTTTACGATGAATTAAGTGTACGTTATTTTTTGCTGATTTAAAAAATGATAACAGTTTGTTGACAATATTTCTAAGCAAGTTTGTTTCACATATGTCTTTATTGTAAATAAATAGTTACTCAACATATTGTTAATCTTTTCTTTATTCATGAACCATTTAACTGATATTTTCTTGAATTTATGATAATACAATCATTTTTCTATTCGGGGACTAATGATGCTTTAGCATCAAAACCTCTACTTTATTGAAACAAAGCTAATATTTATTTCTTAATAGACATACACACCATAGTTTTCTTATGTAAAATGACTAGGTAGTACAAAGAGGATGTACGACCAGCAACGGTTGCTATGGTCTGTGCTTATCAGCAATTCTATTTTTAGAATATTGGCCACTGGTAAATCTCTCCTATAGTTTGTTATATTAATAGAATACTTCTGAAATTTTGACTGCCATTTTAAAGGAAGCATATTTCCCAACATAAGTTGCTGGAGCAAACTCCGTAATACATGTTACAGACCACAGGTGCCTGCTTACGCCGTCTAACACCCCCTACCTCACCCCACCCATATATAATAAATTTATCATAGATATAAGAAGGTATGAAGGGGATATTAGATGTCAGGCACCTGTGTGGTGCAGATCAGTCTTTATCATATGTTATAATTGGAGGGTTACAGATTTTTTTAAAAATAATTTCCAGTATTCTAGATAATATTCATACTGCTTTATTTGTTAAATCATTGTGTTGTCTATTTATACTGCCTTTACTCAAACCTTTGTCAAATCTCATTAAAATCAAATCAGTGTTTTCGCTGGTTACTCTATGCTAGAGAAGCGGAAAAGTTGTGAAGCATCAGTTAGGATATGATTTTAAAGAGATTGGCTTTTTGTTATTTCATTTGCCATAATTACTTTCACCTTTTGTTGATAGCTCTATGTATTGCTGCTGCAATAAATGTCAGGGTTTTTTATGTTGGTAAATATTGTCATGTTTAAAAGTTTAGGAAAAAATGATTGGAAATGACATTTTGATTATACTTATGTCATTTAAATAAGAAAAAAACATTTCTTGTTTTTTGGTTGTTTTTGTTGGTTGTTTTTTTGCAAATATGAAGTATACAAATTGTTAGGCTGTTGTTGAGGAAATTAAATTTAGGGAAAGATTCTCAAAATTATATTTTATGATAGAGTGATACTGCCTTTTAAAATGACCTGTTTTAATATATATTTAGTAATTTCTGTATATAAAGTATAATCTTAGAATTGTTTTGTTGACTTGACAAATCTGAAATGTATCTATAATATATAGAGGATATTTGTTTGTTTGTGTGTAAGATGAAATTTTATTTCATCGAGTGGGCTTTAAAAGCAGTATTCTCAAGAGTGGCGAAGCCACGAGTGAGAATACTGTTTTTAAAGTTCACGAGATGAAATAAAATTACATCTTACACAACAAACAGACAAATTTTCTTTTTATTTTATGCTTAAAAACAAGTTAAAACGAAATTTCCATAATTTTAACGTTAATATTAAAACTGTTTCCCCCATTGAGAGCCCCATTTATTCGGAATTTCTCATTTAAAAAAAGAAGTCTTGAGCTGAAAAATAAGTCCGCCAATCAACATTAAATGACGGTGATATTTATTAATTTTATTAAAAAAATATGAATGATCGCTTGTTTTGATAATAAAAACAAACAATTCTTGTAGGAGAAAAAGTCCAACCATCCATCCATATTTCTGTTACTTAGTGCGAATTTATATTAGACCTGGCTTTGTAAATTGTAAGCGGCAGCCATTTTTTAAAGTTGTGTATTTCATGGGAGGAAAATAATTGTGTAAGATTCAGAGGGATATAATTTGGATTTGTTAGTCATACACATTTTTAAAAGAAAGAAAACTTATTTGAGGATTGTAACAGACAAAAAATAAGTGTTGACAGATGTGAAAACATTCAGAAAAGGAGCTAGGAAAATGGAAAACTTGGAAACCTGCTCAAGAACGCTGGGTTGATTTAACTTATTCTTCGAGTTATGGCTGTCAATGCTTTCAATTTTTCATAAAGCATACGGCAGTTATTGCTCGTAGGATACTTTAATATGCCCAAATGTCATCAAGAGCAGTTTTGCATGGGGAAGGAATGTATTTTTGAGACTGTCAAAATGAAACAAAAAAACGAAATTTGGTGATTGGAATTTCATGAATTTGAATGAATAGAAGTAAGTTTTCTTCTTTTTATTACTTTTGACATTTAAGTTATTAATCAATTTCAGTTTTGCTTTTTCTTTAAACAGCCTGACATTGTCAGAATTGTCAGCAAAAATAAAATTGAGGTACCACATGGGGAAAATCTTAAAAAAGTAGTTTCGTCATTGAAAAGAGTGAAATTATATTTTGATAATTTTCAAATATAATTTTCACGGATAAATCAGTAATCCACTGAAAAGCATAAAATAAATTGTTATAATAATAAAATGCAGAATGGAAGCATAAAAAAACATGTATTTCCTGTTTTAGTTTTGCATTTGATTTAATTCAGATAATTTGAGCTTTTAATATAAAATTTACTGATAGTTTGTAAGGCAATTCGTAATAAATAAATAAATAACTGGTACAATGAAAAAAAGTAATTCTTTGAAAATTTTCATTAAAACGCTGCCAAATATAGAAACCGTACTTTGGTTACAACACAGGAGCACTCAAGACCTTTCTCAGTAACAATGGATCAACATTTACTTCCCTTGAGTCTTGAAGATTTCAAGGCATGGACATAGAATAATCACAAAAATGCCATGGTAAAAGTCAGAAGCGGTTCAGACAGTTTATATTTTCTATGCTCCCACTTTGAAATTGAGAAACATACTGTAATGGGGTGGTCCGGACATATGCCCTGATACCCTTGTCCGTTCAATTTCTTGATAAGTAATAAACTGTGCATGGTTTTTGTAGCTTAGGTAGAGACATTACCCATGACCAGTAAGACGACCCTTATTGATTTTAAGGTCATAAAGTCAAAGGTCAAGATCAAAATATATAAATATACCAATGTGCAAAGACAAATAAATCCGGGACGTCAGTGGCCACTTAATGTAAAATCCCTGTCCGAACACTTATTTGAGAAGAAAAAAGCTGTAACTTGGTAAGAACATTGCCCTTAGCTTATAAATTTGAGGTCAAAAGGATAAAGGAAACCTAAAGTTTGGGCGAGGGGTCACAAAGTCCTTCGGACACTTTTTTTAGCTGTTTGTCTTTCAACATCTTTTTTTTTATATCCGAAATGCATAATATTTCTAAACAATAAAACGTAAAGGGAAATTTAACAAAAGTACAATATAAAGCTCTCAATGAGAAATCATTAAAATGAATAATTAATTGCTTATCATCGTTATGAGCATAATAAATTTTGGCTGCTATAAAATTAATGATCATTTTATTGCAATATTATTCGCCATATATCGGAACAAACAAAGCGTCTTTATACTGAATTTACATTTTAACACAATGTATTTATACAGTACATGAATATGAATTGTAGTATAATACTTAAACGTCAAATGGTACATTTACAAAAATAACGGCAGTTTTCAAAAAAAAAAAAAAAGAGAATAGTATGTAAATGTATGTTTAAATTAATTTAGATCAGAATTTTCGTTTAGACATACATTGTATAGGTACGTTAAAAAAAGAAATCAAGCCAAATACACTGGATCTATATATTGCATTTT